ATATGGTCGCTAAATGCGAACTTGTTCTTTAAGGAACCTCACCAGTTGACTAAATTCACTTAATAGGTCCACTTAAACAATATTTGGCAGAGAACATTTGACTTCAATGATCTAATTGCAATATTTTGGGGCTTACAGACACTGTGGCTTAATTCGCTAAAAAAGCCCGCTTTTTTCAGATTTAGGGTGTTCTTCCAGGCATGTTTTCTCCAAAACTAAGTCGGTGACTCCCTGTTTTTTTACATTTCTGACATAGCTAACTCATCATCTTACAGTGGTAAAAGTCTCAGAAAAAAATCAATGTTGGAAAATTATCGCGCGAACATCCTTAATTTGGAAACATTGAGTTTTCGATGCTTAAGTTTAGAGATCATCGAGGAAAGTGTAAGAGTTGCTTGATGCTTAGCCGACCCACTTCAGCTTCTCAAGTGATCTCCAAACTCTCGCGAGCATCCATAACTAGTTAGACGCAAAGATAAAGGCTAATTCTTTCATAGTATAATAACAGAGACATTTGGCATCGATCGAGAAACATTTGGCAGAACGCCTATCTGCTAGAATTTGTTGCAGTTGAATCTTGAGATTTTCAGGACTAGAAAAACCGCACAGATAGAACACTTGGTTAGACCTTTCTACTGTTCGCCTTTTTAGAAAGAAATGATTTGCTCGTTAACTGTCAACTAAATATTTCTGTTAATTTCCAGGTGCGATATTGTCAAGATATCGGAATTACCGCTGGCGCAGCATCCAGACTCTTCGTCTATTATGGACTCACTTTTTGTGCTGGGAGACTGATATCTGGTCGACGGTGTGACTTCCAGAAAGTCAACACGTTTTATGTCTATCAGGCAGCGGAGCTGGCCGTGGGAGCATCAATTTTGGCTGTTACTTTGGCCATATGATACATGGTTTGTTTATTACAGCATTCAATGTTCTAGTTATTATGACATGCGTGAGCCCATCAAAAGTCTCCATTGCCCTTGGCTGGGAACTGCAAATTTCCTCGTTCTTTCTGGCCAGCGCTGCACCAGTTGCAGGTATGCTGATTGGCGTTGAAGGTTTTGAATGTTTGGACAATTTGATTAATCAGACTGATTTAATTTTGGAACTTCTACTGTCAAGCTTCTTTTGAAAAAATTAATTAGATTGATGCCCATTTTTCGGACGAGTGTAGATATGAGCGAATAGCTTCCGAATTACGTCCGGATACTTTCAGGGTTTTGACATCCTTGAAACCAAGTCGAGTTGCAGCTTATAGCTTATATAGGTATTCGCGAGGCCGAGTGTATTATTTGCTTCAAGTATTTCTTATTGAATCTACTTGAACACTGGCTTTCCAATCCTCACACTGCCCCACGGCTATGCCATGTTGATGAGACCTAATAAGGCCGAAACAGCTGTTCGTGGCATGACTTTCATTTCTGATTGATATGGCTGTATGCGTGTGTAAGGTACTGGTCAGGCCTATGGTTGGCGTTCGAGTTTGTTACTTGCGTTAAGTGTTTCTTATTGAATTTACTGACACACCGACCAGCACATCACATAGAAGAACTGCAGAGTGATTCCCAGCCAACAGCTCCCACATCTGTTATGCACGGTGGAGTTGACACTTAGAGTGGTTTTTTTTTTACACTCGCCTCAGCAGTGAAGCGCAGAATACACAGGCCAGGTTATGCCATGCTGATAGGGCCTAAAAAGGCTGATACAGTGGTCCATGGTTTTCACTGGATTTGCATAAGGTGCTGGCCAGGCAGTGGGTTGTTGTACGAGTCTGTCGCTTGCTTTAAGGTTACCTTGTACCTTCAGAATGAAAATTTTTTGAATTGTCGTTTTTATTTGTAAAAATGACTTTGACCTACGAGCTTCCAGACAAAAACAAGAAAATTCAAAAAAGAGTAAATATACACCGAGGAAATGTTCACAGCCGTTTTCTACTTGAAGTACATGTAAACGTTTCCTATTGATTGACAGCTAAGTGATGTTTTCTCAAAACATCACTTAACATTGGTAACATTATTTTCGCTGGATGGGGACACTTTGGTTTGTCAGATCTCAAGCCAATGTGCTCAGTTGAAAGATTAACTTAACGAAAATTCTAAGAATTATTTTGTTGAGAGTTCATGATTTCTGTGCGGTCACTCCCTAAATTTTTAGAGCAATTTTGGAAATGTTCTGTAACTTCTGCAGTCGCTTTTTAAGCGTTTGGTTTCCAAACCTCGAGGAAAAAATAAAATTCCCAAAACAATTTAAGCTTTATTTATTAGACGAATTCCCAAAAGATCAAAAGCTTCCGATGATTTTTTAAAAGATAGGAAACGAAAAGTTAACCGCAGGTAAATGGTTTATTGTTAGAAACGCATGCATTAACCAAAAAGAGGAAAAAAGTAAAACGAAACAAAAAAAACAACAGTGGTAATAACCCAAACGATCCGGGATTTCAACCCGGACTTCCCGATCGAGAGATCACGCCACGATAGCATACATTTTTGTTTTCGTCTCACAGGTCTCATGGCCGACATCTTGGGTTCCTACACGCATGCCTTTTACATGTCAGGTGCCGTGGTAATTGCGGGCGCGTGCATTTCTTTTCTGTTGCTTTTTACTTATACGAGGGAGCCTGGAGAGTTATTTTCTGATCTTTGGGGGCTGAACGAAGCAATGAAAGAAATCGCTACTGTTGCTATGGACACAGAGCAAGGAGAGGAGACCCAGACAGATTCTAGTTCACGAGAAAATTTCATTGTTTGCACGAGTGCTGTTTAACCGGTGTCTTTTCCTTTCTCACTTTAATTAAGGTCGATAGGCTGCTTCTCACTACATACCTTTCGATATAAACCGATTTCCACAACGAATCCATCAGTGCCGGAGGTCTAAGATACCTGTGTAATTCGAATTGGGTACGACCTTTTTAAACGTGGCTCAGCGGCCTGGTCTTGCAAATACTTTACAATCCGAAACGTTGTTTCTTAGTTGGGCGAGTTAGGATTTGTGTTCAGTTTTGGAATATTTTATCTTGTATTCATATAGATTACTTCAGTAAATCTAGAGAGAAAATGGGTTATATTAGTTGCATACGATATATCCTCCAAGGTTCTCCTCAAGATCTGTCCTTCCAGAATTAAGTATTGAATTATAAAGATTTGTTGTTCTTCCAAATATTGAATTATCAAGATTTGTGATTTGGCCTGCGAAATATTGAATTTGCCAAATATTAAATTTTCAAGATTTGTCCTTCCGAATATTGAATTTTCCAGATTTGGCCTGTGCCAATTATTGAATTTGCCAAATCATGAAACTTCAAGAGTATCCGCCTAAAAATACCGGTGTTACTGTCCTTGAAAACACAACCCCATGTTGGCATACCCAAACAGTATATTCACAATGATAGATAATTCAACTTACAGTGTTAACGGTCCACCTCCATGAAGGAAATACATCAAAATTAATGTTGCAACTGCCTATAGAATGGCTCCGTGGGAAGCTTAAAAAACTAGGAGCTAATGGTAACCTCGTGACCTGTATGCTACAAAGACTGGACTCCCACTTACCTGTCCATATAACAACTCTCTTGCTAGATTCATATTAATAGCATTAATAGTCACTGTAAAACGTAAATATTAATCGTATTATATGAATCTAAGACGGCAAACACCAGAATCAAGAGAGGATGACCGAGGTCATCCTCTCTCTCATCTGAGCGTAAGAAAGCTCAGACAACTCAGCATCACGTGCATTCACAGCTTTTTTTGAAGGAATATTTGAATGGCGCGCAAAGTACTTTAGATTTCCTTAATTAAATTTCATGAGGTTTCAACATATCTTTCACTGATTTTTGACTTAATTGAAAGTGAGCGAAAGCAAAACTCACCAGCGAAAAATCACAGGTAACATATTCAATCCCGAAAGGCGAAGGCCTTTTGATGCGGACTGTATTCTTAGCCTATGAACTGTAAAGCGTGCTATACCAAACAGGGAAAAGAGACTTATAACAGCGGAACTTCTCATTATCAAATCGGCTTTAAACGGTGCTGGGTAAAGATATCTTCCAGAAAAGAAAAACAATGATCCTGTTCGTCAATTGGTTAATTGATATGTATCAGAATGTTTGAAGATCAAGCTCGGTATCTTTGAGTCAATGGTTTAGTTTTGAGTGTACCACGCATAGACGTCTGCGCAAGTCTGACCACTGTTGTCATCCTCATAACATTTTTTCCAGTCCTGTAGATACCATATGCGAAACTCCTGACCAGTGGATACAGAAAGTGGAATGGAAAGCTTGTTAAATGTCAGTTCAGTTGAGTTGACATCAATATTATCCAGGCGATAAGAATAATACCTGCAACCATCGACGTTTCCGCGTTTAAAGTAGTCTGCAAGTGAGGGAATAGGTTGGTTGTCGTGAGTTATGACTGTCAACAGTCTCCTATCTCTATAGTTGGAATGAGTGCATCCCCAGAAGGATGGTGGATCCCTTGGGTTACATCTTAACGACCCGTTCTTGTGAACAAGCTTGAACGTTTGTATGTGTCCACTCTTTTTAATTTTGAAAGTTCCATATGCGTCGCCACGAGCTCCAAAACACACAGCATCATTGCTGATCTTCGTCCACTGTTCTAAAAAAAAAGAGTTTCACAGGTGAAACGATTAGCACCAGTGCTTGCATTGTTTAAAAGACGTGATAGACATAACAGAAATTTACTTTAAAAAATAATTTAATTTGTAGCGCTTGTTGTGCATAAGATGTAGGCATTTTGTGCGTTTATAACAAACAAACAAACACCAAAAGAACGCGATTCCATTCAAATATAAGAGTAATTTGAAGCTTTACAAAGGAAACGAAGAAACCAAAATTGAAGTGTTTTTCATTTTTTCGGAAGTAATTGAATGAGGCTTTATCTAATACACGAGATAAAATAGGTTCTATCGCTGTACTTCAACCTTTTCGGTCGCCACGAAAAAAATTAGTTCGCATTGAACAACTTTATGATAATTCCTTTCATTTATTTTCTTGTTTTTAAGGGGGGGGGGGG